TTCCCTTATTCTTAAAATGTGATCGGTATGGTTTTTTAGTAATACTTGTAGTTTGTTAGGTTGTGTTGAAAGAGTAAGTTGTAACTTTTGGATTAGGGACTTGGTCGAGTGATGGCCGTGTGAGGACGACTCTGTTTGCCCTCCGCCTTTTACCTCTAGTTTTACAACCAACACAAGGCTGAAATGAAAAATGAAGAAATCGATCTTCTGCTAGTTTGGATGAGAAAACCATGACATCTCCAGATGCAAAAAAATTGAAAGATGCAAAAGCCCATGACAATGCTAACAACGAAGATGACTCGCACGATGAATTAATGGAGAAAGAATCTGATGCCAACAGAATGGCATGAAAGCCTCCTTCAGTAAAAGCCAACCAGATAAGCTATATATAAATGGCAAATTCTGGCCTACTGGAAAACAGTTAGTAACAGACAATGAATCAGATGAGTAAAATTTTCTTGTTGTAATTATAATGCACTAATTACTACACTATCCTAGGCGGACTGGCCAGCACCTTTCATGCTTTTTTCATCAAACGATTTATAGTGCCTAGCTTTCACTAAGACCAACGATCGATAGGTTTTTGTTATGATTCTTTTCCCACTTTTTGTTGCCAGTGTTCTTATGCGTCTGCCTTTTTTCCCTTACATTTTGTCTTTTTGAGGTTTTCATACTTGAGGACACAATTTATCTTAAAAATATCTATACTGCGTATGATATCACTTTTAAAATTGCAAAATATTATCAACCTGAGCAGTATGCAAATTATCAACCAACAGCTTTAGCCTTCACACCTCCTATCAAAGAGCAGTGCATAATTACAATCATCACCTGCTTAAAAGAAAACAATGGAAAAGGACAATAACTCAGTCACTATAGCCTCTCTCAATGTGCGGGGCCTTAGGAATGCATATGACACTAAAAGAAGAGAAATCTTCAACAGGCTGCGATCTAAACATTTTTCTATTTACTTGTTACAAGAAGTGTAATGCTCGGGAAAAACAAAAAACCTTGGACCACGAAATGGGGCTATACAGACTTTTTTAGCTTCTTTTCAAGCACTAAGACAGGTGTAGGTATTCTATTCAACAATAATTTCGAACTTCAAATTATGAAAAATTATATTTATCTCTCAGGTCTTTATATTATATGTGATCTGATGGCTAATAGAAAACTCTTAACTCTGGTGAGTGTTTACTCTCCTAGTGAAGATGATCCAAACTTCTTTAAAACCCTTGCTGATCACATGGAAGATTTTCAAAAAGACGAGATTATAATTGGCAGAGAATTTTAATACTGTGTTAGATGTACAAATAGACAAGAAAGGTGGCCTCCCCAAAACGCATAACGTAGCAAGAAGAACTGATAACGAATTCTTTAAACTCGGGAATGACACATCCTTGGATGAAAATGACTCTGTGAGCTGTGATGACCTTTTAACTATAAAAGAACGCCTAAAGGCTTTAAAAGATAAGGCTTCAGGAAAAACTCCAGGGATTGATGAACTTCTAGCTGAGTTTTACAAAACCTTTTGGGATGACATAGCTCCTAGTTTGATTGCTTCACTTAACTATGCTAACAAGGCAGGAACACTTTCAGTCACCCAGAGACAAGGAGTGATCAAACTAATACCGAAAAAGGACGCTAATCCGCACCTTATCAAAAACTGGCATCCTTTGACTCTCCTTATTGTGATTATAAAATAGCTAGGAAGGCCATCACAAATCGAATCAAATCAGTTATTCCACAACTAATTAATAATGATCAGACTGAATTTTTAAAACGTAGATTTATCGGAGAAAATATAAGATTGATCAACAATGTCGTAAATTATACTGCACAACATGAAATCCCCAGTTTGTTACTTTTCACCGATTTCGAAAAAGCTTTCGACTCCCTTGAGTGGTCTTTTGTTAATCACATGTTTCAATATTTTGGTTTCGGCCCCCCCTTAGCAAATTGGGTTCAAACTATTTATCCCAACTTTGAAAGTTGCACTCTGAACAATGGATGGTTGAGCGATTCTTTTACTTTACAAGGAAGAGTTCAGCAAGGCTGCCCTCTGTCATCCTACCTGTTTATCCTGTCTGTTGAAGTGCTAGGGAAATCAATTAGGGCTAACTCTCGCATTAAAGGTGTCGCTGTTAATAACACAGAAATTAAGATAAGCCAATACGCGGATGACACTACCCTGATTCTAACGATGAACAAGAATCTTTATCAGCCGCCCTTGATACTATAGATAATGTCAGCTATGTGACTGGCCTCAAACTTAACGACAAGAAAACTGAATACTTATGGATCGGGTCAAATGTGGGCAAGAACAAAAAACTCCTCCCAGAAGAAAAGTTTAGATGGCCAGAAAATAAAGACAAGGTCCTCAGTGTTTGGATTTCGACTGACCCAACTGTCACACTAAATCTAAATTACATTCTAAATTATATTCTAAGCTGTTGGAAGTACCGACGGCTAACATTAATTGGCAAGATTCAGGTGTTAAAGGTGCTAGCACATTGAGTTTGTTGTTGAGTATTCATTTGAAGGACACGCAAGGTAAATGAAAAAGATTTTGATTTGAAAAAACAAAGCTGACTGTCAATAAGTGCTTTCACGTTGGTATTCAACACTAATTCTGGTTTCAAATTTCGGAAATTCTATGAGTTCAATGGAGAAGTACATTCGGGGTTGCACAGACCCAACCCAAGCCTCCGGGCCAAAACAAAAATTTTCCAACTCTATGCCAGTTTTATTGGCTTTGGAGTTGTTGGACAATTGTGAAATTAAAGTAGACGAGCTTTTGGATGACAGCAATGATGTCATTTAAGTGTTGTACATTGTTCCAAGAGAAAACAGTTAAGACAAGTGCTCAATGTGATTGAAAGCAGTGTTTGGTCCTATTTTCCCAACGAGTTTAAGAGTCACATTCAAATGACAAGGCAGACTTTTGAACTATTTGCTCACGAGGTTAAATGACTACAGGATAGATAGAAATTAGTAATTCATCTGGAACAGCACCTATTCCAACTTCCACCTTCAAAACAAACCTTAGCTTTCCTGCGGAACACTGGAAACGAAGAAGAAAAGAAAAGAACCCACTTGAGCAGTCGCAAACAGATTCGCTGCAACATTACATTCAGCAGTGTGAACCATGTTCTTTGGAAAATTACGCAGGCAGCTTTTGATCTTTCATTTGGATGGCCAAATGGTAAGTTATGTTTCGAGACAGAACAAAAGAGCCAAAAAGAAATAGATGATAAAATTAATATATGTTAGAGGTCAAATTTGATTTCAGGTTAAATTCTTTTAACCTACAATATGTTGATTCTCAATTTTCGTTGCCTCCTACCCCTAATCAGTCATGAATTAGGGCTAGGAAACAAAGGAAATTGAGAATCAAATTTGACTTGTAACATATCTGTCTGGATTTGCAAAAACACAGCTACAGAAATCTCTCTTAGATACCCTCTGACTGAGTCTTGTAGTGAAGCATGTTTTTTTTTTCATTGTTTCTTTTTAATTATTTAATCAGTACCAGATAGGCAAAAGCAGATAGACTTTGATGAGTTTCTCACTGGCTATTAACCTGTTACCCCCTCCCCCCCAATTTTTTTTTATAACTTCCCATAATTCTCTCTATGTCAGTTTGAAATTAGAGCACTGTCAAGATATTGCGTTACATTGTCACTGCATGTTGCTCTGCACGTGCACCCTATCTATCTACCAATCCAGTGTAATCTTGTATGATTATATAACAACAGGCAACATGAGCCGAGGGCGATAGACCCACGCGGTGCGACACAGAGGTTGTAGCAAGCACTAAAACAGACATTAAAAAACCTATTCCTGTTCTTAGAATCCTGACATGGTGTTAGAAGCGGGATTTATTCACCCCTAAAAGATGACAGAAACGGCTGAAGCATCCACAGTTTCGCCACCAGCGCTGACACAAGTTTTCATTCCCCTGTCAAATTTGCCTCCGCCTAAAGCGCTTATCTTTGACGACAATTTAGCCACTGCATGAAAGTCGTGGAAAACAGCTTGGCAGTGTTACGAAATCGCTACTGGTGTACATAAGCAAGAGGGCATAGTCCGCGTGTCGACGTTACTAAGCATTATTGATGAGGATGGCGTCAAAGCCCACGATACTTTCACTTGGAACGAAGACGAAAACACAGACGACATTTCACAAGTCTTGAAGAAGTTCGACGACTTCTGTACTCCTAGAACACAGGTCATACGAACACTATCGGTTCAACAACCGAAAGCAGGAACCCGGCGAAAACATTTCGACTTATCATACGGAGCTTCGAACGATCGCGAAAAACTGCGCACACGACACAATCACACCAGATGAAATATTGCGTGACCGCCTCATACTAGGCATACGGGAGGATCGCGTGCACGAGAGACTTCTTCGTTTGAATGATTTATCTCTCCAACAAGCAGTCGACATTAAGTCTTCGGAACAGACCCAACAGCAAGTCAAGCAAATGGCTGGAGGAGACACCGCGGTTCATGCATTACAGAAGGCCGGATCTGCAGGAAAATTTGAAGAAGAACGACAACTCAAGTCACAAGCATTTAGAAGACAGTCTAGAGAATGTGGAAATTGCAGAATGGTGCACGGACGTCATTGTCCCGTGTATGGAAGAACATGTTTTAGCTGTGGGGGCATGAATCATTTTGCTCATAAATGTCGCACTAATCCCCGAGGATTGAAAAGCAGAGTTTCAGCGGTCCATGAAGCCGTTGACATGGAAGACGACTCCTACTACATTGGTGCCATTACTAGAAAGAGCAAAGGCCAGGAATAATTGGCAGTGGTCAAGCTCCACATTTATAGGCCAGATCCTAAGACAGAAGTCCAGTTTCAAATAGATACCGGGTCGCCGTACGACATTCTCCCCGCCCAAGTATACAAGCAGATCACTGGGGACACACTCCTTCATCGTCTCAAACCATGCCGAAAGGAAATAGTCTCGTACACAGGAGATTGCCATAAAATTGCTGGTAAAGCTACCCTCCCCGTGTGGTCTCGTGGACAGCAGAGGTCACTGGATTTTAACATCATAGACGGCGACTATCAACCAATTTTATCATTGAATACCAGCCTCAATCTTGGCTTTGTGAGTTTCCGTAACTGTGATGTCCTAGCATTACACGTTAAGTGTCCCAACGCCTCCTTGCTCGAAGAGTATGATGATGTATTTGACGGATTGGGTGCTCTACCGGGAGCCTACAAAATAGCCATAGACGAACAGGCACAACCAGTTGTCCAAGCACCGAGGCGAGTGCTAGTAGCCTTGCGTCCACGCATCAAAAACAAGCTGGACGAACTTGTTGACCGTAAAGTTATTATTCCAGTAACAGATCTGACGCAGTGGGTATCTAGCATGTTAGCCATAATGAAGCCAAACAAAGTACGCATCTGTATTGACCCAAGAGATTTAAATCGTGCCATACGGCGAGAGCATTACCAGTTGCCGACTATCGATGAAGTTGCCTCCCACAACAGGTGCTAAAAAGTTTACACTCTGTGATGCCAAGGACGGTTTCCACCAAATCCTCTTAGATGATGCTTCTAGTTACCTTCCAACGTTCAATACGCCTTTTGGACCTTATCGGTGGGCTCGCATGCCTTCTGGTATCTCAAGTGCTCCTGAAGTTTGGCAGCGACGCATACATGAATTCGTAGAAGATTTAGAGGGTGTTGAAGTTATCGCTGACGATTTCCTCATCGCTGGATTTGGCGAAACCGACGCAGAGGTCAACTCCAGCCTTGAAAAGAATGAACGTGCGTTCTTCAAGAAATGTCGGGAGTGGAACCTCAAGCTTAACAAACTCAAGCTGAAAAGAGCTCAAATCGAAGTGCGCTTCATGGGACATCTCTTGACTCCTGATGGTCTAACGGCAGACCCAGCTAAAGTTGAAGCTACTTTAGACATGCCACTGCCGACCGATGTGAAAGGCCTGAAGAGGTTCCTGGGGATGGTTAATTATCTGGCCAAACTCTTGCCTCTCCTGTCCGACATGACAGAACCTTTGCAAAGACTCGAAGACAAGGACGTAGATTGGTGTTGGCTTGCACAGTATCAGAAAGCATTCACCACAGTCAAAGAATACTTGGCCAAGGCCCCTGTACTGAAATACTATGACGTTAATGAAGAAGTGACAATACAATGCGATGCCAGCAAGACCGGTCTAGGTGCAGTACTGATGCAAAAGGGTCAGCCCATTGCCTTTGCCTCACGAGCTCTGACCGACACCGAAACCTGATATGCTCAAATCGAGAAAGAACTATTAGCCATCGTGTGGTCAACCGACAAGTTCAATCAGTACATACTGGGACGCAAAGTTGTGCACATCGAGTCTGACCAGGAACCACTAAAGGCAGTTTTTACCAAGCCAATACACAAGTCACCAAAGAGACTCCAGAGAATGCTGATGGCCCTTCAGAATTACTCTCTGGATGTGCAGTACAAAAAAGGGGAACTTATGTGGATATCAGATGCGCTGAGTCGAGCACAGCGCAACACAACCGAAGCCTCCAAGCACGATACAAGTCTGATTTGTGCACTTGCCGAGATTGATCATTCAGAAAACCTCTCGATTGCCCATACAGGCTCGCTGAACTCAGAAACGAGATTGCCAACGACCCAGTGATGCAAAAGCTAATCGGAGCAATAAAAGGTGGATGGGCAGTGTCAAGGAAGCTCTGTGCCCCTGAGCTAACGCCCTACTATGACAAAAGAAGTGAGCTTATAGAAGACAAGGGACTAGTATTCCTTGGTGAGCGATTGCTAGTACCCCCTTCCCTGAGAAAAGAAATGTTGAAGCAAATTCACTGATTGTATATCGGAATTGAAGGGTGTTTACGTCACGCTAGGGAGGTCCTGTATTGGCCCCTCATGAATTCGGAAGTAAAGGACTTTGTTTCCAAATGTTCAATCTTCCAGTCGTACAAGCCAGATCAGTGCCACGAGGAACTGCAACCATATCCGATCCAGTCGCGTCCCTGGTGGATGCTTGGTGCCGATTTTTTTTACCTCGGGCAACAACAGTTCTTTTTACTAGGCGACTACTGGAGTGGGTTCTTCAAAGTCCAGGAAGTTAAAGTGGCCACATCTGCTAGCGTGATAGCTGTGTGTAAAGTCCAGTTCGCCCGAAATGGGATACCAGAAGTGCTAATTACCGATAATGGAACTCAATTTACATCATCAGCGTTCAGTGCATTCGTGAAAGAGTAGCAGTTTGAACATCGAACTTCAAGCCCCCGTTACCCTCAGTCAAATGGCCGCGCAGAAAATGCTGTGAAGACCTGCAAGTCCTTGATGAAGAAAGCGAAAGCGGATGGGCAAGACCCTCTGTTAGCCCTACTTGACTGGCACAACACCCCAATAGTGGGTCTAGGAATATCACCGGCACAGAGACTGATGGGACGCCGCACACACACGTTCCTACCAACCCATGAAACGCTCATGCAGCAGCCATCCCAGCTGGACACAGCCATCAAATTGGCTGAGCGGAAGGCAAAACAAGCTCAACAGTACAACAAAAAGTTTTGCCCTTTAGTGGCACTAAAGTGGGGACCTGCACAAGAGCCTTGGGGAATTGGTCTTATGAAGTTGAAGTTTGCGGCAGGCAATACCGACGCAACCGTCGACAACTGCGCCTGACCCCTGAAACAGCACCACCTATGAGTCCCATAGAGTTAAATCCGCCCGAGTCCACCCTCAAACCTGCACCAAACCTGATTGAGCCGGGACCTCCACCACCGGAGTTCCACGTCGAAACCGAAGCAGAGGGAGGGCCACCTGACACTGAACTAGGAACAGAGATTGAGCCACAAAGGATTGAAACTCACCGATCAGAGCGCAGAAGTCTACCACCTGTGTGGCATCAGGATTACCATATGAACTGAACATTGAACATTGAGCCGTTCATTGGATTTACTGAACATTGAACAATTAAGCCGCTGAATATTTGTTTTTTTGGTTTCAACCAAGAACAATATTTTTTTAATTTTATGTGATTCTGAACAGCGATCGTAACATTAATTATTAATTAATTATTTGAATGCCAACGCTATAAAAAGGGGAAGGTGTCGTGATATTGCGTTACATTGTCACTGCACGTTGCTCTACACGTGCACCTCATCTATCAACCAATCCAGTGTAATCTTGTATGATTATATAACAACAGGCAACATGAGCCGAGGGTGATAGACCCACGCAGTGCGACACGGAGGTTGTAGCAAGCACTAAAACAGACATTAAAAAACCTATTCCTGTTCTTAGAATCGTGACAAGCGCGTATTAGACTAAACTCGGCTCTCATAGTGGGTTGTCTTAAGAGTTTTATTGGTTGCCCTGAGCAGAGTTTTCCGGCAGGCATCATTAAGCCTTATGAAGAAACAATTCTCACATCTGGCAAAGTCTACTGCATCCAATATCCTCTGGTATTGTCTCATTTTGGGCTACACAGGTGACAGACTGATCCCTGGCTTGAGATGGGAAGATTGGAGACAGTGAGCTTTGTTGTTGGCAGTAACAAGTCTTTGGCCTCACAAGGTAGATTATAGGGTTGAAATCTATTCGGCAAGATGGAAATTCATGCTGATTTCTGACCAGGCCAAAGACTAAGTAATAATTTGTTTCGAAGGCAGGGGCTGTATGTCTCCTTTTCAACCGCTGGTTTACATCTGGGATCTTGAATAAATCGACTGTCAGTGACTCGAGAAAAGTTCTATTTGACAATTTATGTGGAGAAAGCGAGAGTTTTACACAGTAATTTGTCGATGTATCAACTGTGTTAAGTGTGGAAATATTATGAGTGGTTTTGGGAAGTGTTGTGATTGCCGTGAAAGCCATTTATTGTGTGATTTACTGAAAGTGTTGACAGACAAATCTCAGGTATGTGCAGTTGAGCTTGTGTTACTAGAATACTTTGTGACAAGCATAAAAACGCTTTGTGAGTGTTTAGTTTAGGTGATTTGTCTTAGAAAGCCTATTCTGTGCTCAAAGATTGTGGATTCTTAATCTGTTTTCGGCCAACACAGAGCTGTGGGCCTCACAGTTTGACTGACTAAAAGATTACAATTTCTGGATTTTCAAATGTTGTTTATTTCATCACAAAATCCTGTTACTTCTGTGAGAGAACTTTACCGTCTATTGACAGCAATAATGCTGTCATTGTTTACCTTTAGCCAGTGACTTTTCACTGCTTCCTCTTCCACTTAGATGTCAAATAGTTAAAATGCACTTGAAATTTCTTTAGCCATGTTTTAACAAATCCAGATAGATATATGTTGCCACATATAAGTGGGTAGTTTATTACCAATCCCTTTTGCACCAGACAACTTGCAATGCAGCAATCCCTTCAAAATTGGTTTATTGATTGACAAGATCTGCTGCATGCAAGTATAACCCAGTAGCGATGGGAGAAAGAGCTAAATGCAGCAGAACAAGAAATCGTTAGACACATACAGGAGGAAGCTTTGAAGGAGGAAATAAGTAAATTGGAGACCAGGACCACAAGAGAAGAATTGAAGAGAGCTAAGTGACTCTTCCATTTAGATCCATTCTTAGATCCAAACAATCTGGTGAGAATTGGTGGACACAACAAGCAAGCAAGCGTATCCCAAGACATAAAGCACTTCATTGTCACACAAGCAAGATTCCTGCCAGACACTACAACGAAAAGGCTCTTCATCAAGAAAAGGGGATCACCAACCTTGATGAAATCCAGTCTTCAGGCTATCAGCCATGGCAAAGATTTTTACCTCACTAATGAATAACAGGCTTTGTGACTATCTAATTGAAATTGGCATAATTACTCAGCAACAATGTGGCTTCCGAAAAAAACATGGTACACAGGACAGTATTTTCATTTTAAAAGCACTAATAGACAAATATGTTAAATCTAAACCCAAGAAATCAAATAACCTTTTATTCACCTGCTTTGTTGACTTTAGTAATGCATTACATACATACATACATACTTTATTTAAGGTATCATAAGAAATCAAATACAAATAATACCCTAAAAAGAAAGTTTAAGAGGTTGACCCTATGTAAATAAACTTCCAAAAATAAGAATTAAAAATATATGCTTATGACTAAAATCTAAGACCTAAGATGGATAAAAACCTAAGAAATACGCATGTACGATTTAAGAGCTATTTTGAAACGTCTTAAATTTCCTATCTCAACAACATTGGCGGGCAGGTCATTCCATTCACGAATAATTTTAACAAAGAAAGAGTATTTATAAAAATTGCAGTTAGCCGATTTAACTTGCAGTTTGTAGTTGTGATTGGACCTGGTCGTTTTGAAGCGAACTCAAAACAATCGGAAAAACAAAGGCTATTCAATCCGAATACAAGTTTATAGCATTCAATCAAAGAAAAATATAGCCTTCTGTCAGTAGACTGCGACCACCGTAACATTTCGCAGCGATCTTTGTATGACATCTCTCCCCTTCACTGACCTAAGGCCAATCAAGAAGCTCTTCTCTGAACTTTCTCTAAGAGAGCAATATTCTTCTCTAGGTAAGGGCACCATACAGGGGAAGCGTACTCGAGAATTGGTCTCACAAGAGCCTTGTACAGTGTGGAAAAGATTTCCTTGTTTACAGAACCGATTGTTCGCTTGATTAGACCAAGAACTTTATTGGTCTTATTGAGAACCTCAACAACGTGAAAGGTTGTCATTAATTTTGATAGTATCCCCAGAGGGAAACTGTTTCAAAAATTTAGGCTAGCGGGAGTAACGGGGTGCTTCATTGAGATTTTACATTCAATGTAATGATAAATCATCTGTGAAAATGGAAAATATGCTAACAACTGCCTTTCGATGTCATACCGGAGTAAAACAAGGTTGCATGCTCTCGCCAACCCTTTTTAACCTTTATTTCAGTGACCTTTCAGAGGAACTTAAGGCCAAGAACCTAAATGACGTAGAACTAAACGAGTAACCGTTAAGTTGTCTGCTCTATGCAGATGACTTAATTGGTCATATTCTCCAAATCAAAAAACGGACTACAGGATTATTTGGATTCCCTCAGTGAATACTGTAAAGAAAACGACTTGTTGGTTAACCTTAATAAAACTAAGGTGTTAATTTTTAATAACTGCGGGAGAACCATGAATAAGCACATATTATACTATAGAGGCAGAAAACTTGACAATGTTAGCAATTACAAATATCTTGGCCTACAATTTAGTACTTACGGGAACTTCACATACGCTAAACAGGAAATAAAGAAGGTTGCCCTTAAAGCTTTGTACAAACTCAGGAAGGAAATGGGCTACCATTTCAGAGATGATGTACAGCTTACAATGAAAATTTTTGACACAGTTATTACCCCAATACTCACTTACGGAAGCGAGGTCTGGGGGGTTGATCACGATGGAAAGCTACAAAATGATCCAATTGAATTTGTACAAACAAAGTTCATTGGGTAACTATTGGGAATTAACAAATTCTGTAGCTCAAATGCGTGCAGATCGGAAGTAGGCCATTTACCAATGCAAACGAAGACAAAGTGCAGAGCCATTAAATATTGGCTAAAAAATTTTGCGAGCTGGAGCACCAAAATAAACTCTCTGGAATAGCATTTACAGATCAAATTGGTCAAGACAAAAAGGAACTTTGGCCAGGCAAATTAAAATGGCTCTTAAATCTCACAGGCCTTGGCGTCATATGGTCAGCAAAATGAACACTCCCACAACCATGATCTATATACAACAGAGACTCTTAGACATTGAACAGCAAACATGGATTAGCGAAATACATGATCAAAAAAACAAACTCAGAACTTTTAGGACATTTAAACTTACCCATGACTACGAAAATTACCTCACAAATGTAAGAAACATCAATCATAGAGTAGCAGTCACAAAGCTAAGATTAAGCAACCAAAAAATAGCAATTGAAACTGGGTGATACGTTAAACCCCATCAACCAACAGACCAAAGAATTTGTCCATTATGTAAAACTGGATTTGAAGACGAGGAGCATTTTTTGATGAATTGCATAGCTTACAGGGATCCTAGGAGAGAGCTGTTCAATTCGCTAAAAAGGAACCTAACCTTTTTCTTGACTCTCTGACTCCAAGCTCTGCTTTTGCAACGTTGATAAGTATGAAGCAAGGAGAGAAAATGCAAAAAATTGTGGCTAAATACGTATGTGATCACTTCCACGAAAGAGAAAGACGCGTTAAATATATCCTTGTCTAATTGTATAAATTCTACCACTGTACACCTCTGTAATTATTGCACTAAAATCTTTGTTATCGTTGTAAACACATGTGTCTGTAGGCGCTCTGTTGATAATAAAGCAGCTATCCTATCGTATGATTGCTGTCTTTGTCGGTCAAATGTCTTCTAATCCCAAAAAATTACAAAAAAAGAAACGTCTGTCCCAATTCCAGCAGGGTATAGCCGTGGAAAGTTGTAAGTATGATCCTTATCATCCTTTGCCCTATAGTTTTAGCTTCATGGAAGAATGGGTGGCAACAGGACATACATCTGTGATTGCAAACTAGAGATATGTTTTGTCTACATATTCTCTTGTACAAAGGCTTTAAATGTCACGCCTACTTGCCCACCCATCAAGAGTCAGTTGCCCAAGCAAACAATTTCCTGTACACGATTCTTTTTCCTTTTTACTTTTCTGATAGTTATTTCTTTCTCTCCAATGAACATACTGTAGTGTTTCTGCATTCTTGTTATCCACACCCTAACCACAAATTATAGCAAGATATTATTGTACCTATAAATAGTTGATTGAGTTGTAATAAAGCAGTTGTGTAAAGCACTTGGCCTGATTCAGTTTGTACGAACCCAAAGTACACAACAACTGGCGACGAGGATGGCCACTCTCGGATCAATAGAATTTTTAGAAGACTGGAATGCTTATA